TCTACAAAATACTTATGGCGTCTCAGCAGTCCACCATCCCCAGCCTACAATATTGGGAGCGCACCCTTAACCCCGCCCCTAAATTCACCTCCGCGTTTTGGAAATCACGTTACACTCCCCTGCTTCCCAATCATTTCGGCGATATCACGTGGAAAATCGTTGACAGGGTCCTCCCACACGCCCTGTCCCTCTTCCGAGTAGGCGTCTACCCCACGATGGACTGCCCGCACTGCAATGATACCGAAACGCTCGATCACCTTCTCCTCCATTGCCCCGCTCTTAAACCCTTCTGGGTGACCATACAAAGATACGTCACCGACATATCCAACGACATCATAACCCTGACACACCCCATAGCCCTTTTTGGTGTCCCATAAACGAAGGCTAATGCCCACTGGCGAAGCGAAATCAACCTAATTAATTTCATTCTAAACATAGCGCGCTACGCTATACATAAATCGGTAGCAGAACTCCGTTTAAACGATATTCACATCACACCACAGTCTATTTTTAATGCTGAGGTCAAACACTTTATTCAAAAAGATTTTCAAGTACAACGACACACAGGTCTCAGCTACTATTTCCCTCTGAAATGGTGCATTAACGATACTATTGTAAGCCTAGTAAATGAACGACTCCATTTTCACCTATAGAGACCTATTGGAATACGTAATTCTGGCTAGTATATGCCAACAACCAGGTTAATACAATGTAACGAGTCCCACCATATATACGCAGTAAGATCAAACCTTTCGTTATGTTATCACTAGTTAGCCTCAATAAATGTAACACTGCAATAAGTAGAAAACCTGTAATAGTTAAGAAATCTCAACCTTGTCTCCTTGTAAATAGAATAGCTTAGAAGCGGCTCACACTGAGCTGTTTTACTAGAAATAAAAAAATAGAAAATCACACCTGACTAGTAACAGGGGGACGTGGGTTCAAATCCCGCTTAGGGAAAATTTTCTTTTATATAGAAGGCCGAATATATATAACTAACTGCAGACAGTACTGTTTCGGCCTTCTGGGCCTCATCAGTGCAGTGCTAATGCTAGGATGGAGGAGAACCAATATGGTCACCCCAAACGATCCAACATTTGTGGTATCGTAATAACAAAATTTTGTAATAACAAAATTACAAAATGGAGAACCCAGGATAGTTCATAAACTTGCTTAAAAAGAAAGGTCTTCAATCTAGATTTGAACTTGTTTACATCGTCGATTGATCTAATGTCAGTAGGTAAATCGTTCCAAAGTATAGGGGCAACAACCATTATCCTTAAATAGTGTGAAGCTTGTTTAAAAAGTTTGAAACCGAATGTAAAAACGAAGTTCAAATAAAAGATGTCGAAGGTTCTAACGTGCACGACTGACCTTGCTTCCTATTCGCTAACGCAATGACAGTTCTGACAAGTTGACTTCAAATGGCTTTCTGGGACGCGCGCTCAGGATGAAAACAAACAATATTGCTGTTTTCTTGTTTCCTACTTTTATTCAATGATGCGATTCAAGGAAAATTCATTACCAGACTCGTGAATTCCACGTTAAATTGCACTTGAAAACCGATATCGTACGAATCGATTCGTGCGATATCGGTTTTCAAGTGCAATTTAACGCGGAATTCACGAGTCAGGTAATGAATTTTCCTAATGAATTTCACTTTGTCAGCCATGAATCATGCTATTTTATTATAAGGTAAGAATGTAATTACGTCAAGAAGTTTGTGAACGTTATTAATCTCTCTTCATTTTATTTTTTTTTTCTGTTTTTTGTTTTTTTTTTCTTTATTTTATTTAGGAAAAGGCGAAAGAAACGCTATTTAAGAGGTACCAGAGATCACATCCAGATGACAGACGTAAAATGCAGCTGCTCTGGAGCAAACAGTGCTGTTGTGACTACTTCCACACTAAGATATCCAACGAAGCTATCTTACAGTTTTTCGTCTGAAAGTCAGTCTTCAAGTGCATCAACAAAATTCTTTGAAATGGACTCACGAGTCCGTCTTGAGGAAGATTCTCAAGTAGTTGGAGAACTTTTCCACATGGAACCTGAGTTATTGTCAAGTTTGCAACTACAAAGGAGGTTTCCGAAATGGAGCCTTGTGCTTTCATATCGTCACCAGTCTTAAGATACAGTAGTACTGACTTGCCACTGAGTTCAATGAGGGATTCTGCTGTTTGTTACCCCGGAGATCCACGAGCGCATTCATCATCGGCGCAGTGGTATGAAATGAAGCCATTATCTCCGCTTTCAGCACCTACATCGAGATTCAGTGATGGATTTCCACCCCCTGGCGCAGTAACGGATGTTACTTTTAGCTGCTGCAACGATTTAGACACTAGCCTTGGTGAGACAATGTCGTGTGAAAGGGAGCCCACAGCTGTAGCAACAGAAGACATAAAAGGAGAGACTTCCCCAAGTTCCGCTGAGGATA